ATTAGTTGAGATATATTATATATTATAATTATATTTTGACAGTATCCGTTGTTTCTGATTGGCGCAAAAAAATCTTGCCTAGTGACGAATTCGCCCCTTGATATGGTCGTTACTTAAAGCTATTTATATTCGAAATTGCATGAAAATTGGAAAAAAGGAATCTGTAAGCTTATCCAGGCAAAAAGCTACCTATGTACCGAATTTTAAGCAAATCGGACCATAAATACGATTTATTCGAACAGATCGGTCCCTGGTCCACTTCTCGGACAAAATGGATCATATATGCTAAAAAGCTACCTACGTACCGAATCTTAAGAAAATCGGACCGTAAATACGATTTTTTCGAATAGATCAGTCCCTGGTCCACTTCTCGGAAAAAATGGACCTTATATCCTAATGTATGCTAAAAAACTACTTACGTACCGAATTTTAAGCAAATCGGACCATAAATGCGATTTTTTGGAATAGATCGGTCCCTGAACCACTTCCCGGAAAAAATGGGTCATTTATGCTTATATATGCTCAAAAGCTACTTACGTACTAAATTTTAAGCAAATCGGACTATAATAAGATTTTTTCGAATAGACCGGTTCCTGGTCCACCTACCCAAAAAAACGTAAAATTTTTTTAGCCTAAAACATGGTGGTTACCGAAAGCTATTTGTATACAAAGTTTCATGAAAATCGGACCAGCCGTTCGCGAGATTACCTGTTACAAAAAAAAGGGACTTCTCTTTATATAATTAGTATAGAAGATAAGATTTTGTAGACTTGTACATAAATAAATGTAAATAGATACGCGTAAATATATAAATATGCAGATATATTCAATGTGTAAAAATTTAATTGTATACAAACGAAACTTCTACAAAACAAAACTGGACTACACACTAATTAACTAAAATGGTGTAGTAATTTAATTTTTTAAATTTAAATAAAGCATGAATTCCCCATGCAATAACCGAGTAGACAAAAAATATATAACGGTAGAAATGGCACATACATACATATATGAAAGAATGCCCACAGGCGACGCACTATAGGCAAAACACGATTTTTTTTTTCAAATCGTAGATCTTCGCTTAGAAAAGAGATAATGGAATTCAGCATTTAACCCTTTAATGCAGAGTCTGTCATATATGAAACGCTTTTTAACCCTTTCAAGGCAGAGGAAAAAGGTTCTTCTTTGTTTTCCTTCATTCAGCTATCTTCGAAAAACAACTGATAGCTGGCAATGCTGCACATGTTTCCGCAAGTGTTGCATCATGTGGATTTTTCGTTTTTCGTAGCGTAGCTACGAATTACGAATTACGAAAATTCGGGTTCTATAATAAGGGGAAAAAACTTTTCATCGACGTTGCGGAAATCGTTTCGTTTGGAGTTGTTTTAGTCCAGAGTACGCGAAAACTTGTATTTTAATGTATGCAAAACAAGTGCTTGAAGAAAATGAGTTTGAAAGGCTTTTATTCCCTCCTGTAAAATTTTAATAACTAGACTTAATAACTTTTCATTCTAAGCTAGCGATATGTTCAAATGCCTGTGCAATTATTTGTATGAAATTAGCGAAAACAAACTCGTTTTGTAAGTGTCCACAGAGCACGTACGGTATCGTATTGTTATTATCCCTATTGATGAAAATTCATACCGTTACGATTTCGTTGACATGCATACCAGTGACGTGCCAAATATTCACCCTGGGGAGCTGGTTGAAAATAACACCAAATAACCAAATAGTGTTCTCAATTAATTTGCGAACGCTGAGGCGGAATTCACACTTAGTTAAAATAATAAAAGAAAAGTTTATCACAATAAAAAACTGTTAAAGATGTATGTGATATTCTTTCACCAGTCAATCTACATACTTACATAAGTATGTGTTTCAAAAAAGAATAAAGCAACGCGCTACGTTTTTAAAATGTTTTACTCTGATTGAAACATGTTTTTGATCTCCCTTGATAATCCCCTCGCATCCACGCCACTGAAAGCACACAATTTTTAACGAATAGTAAGTAGTAAAATATTATCAGTATAGTAAAATGGGTTGAAAGCGAGAAAGTGTGTTTCGTGAATCTTTTTCATTTGACTCTGCGAAAAATGAGTCAACTTGCTTTATTTGCAAAAAAATATTGAAAGGTAGTTATATTTGCAATTTAAAAAGGCATTTAAAGGAAAAAGATCCACAACAATATAAAAGTGCCATTGAAAATGCTCCTTCTGATGACACGGAGGGTGGTTTAAAAACAAAATTAAATTTAATGTGGTAATGAGCATTAATGAAGTGCAAAATGCATTTCATGAGCATGAAATGGTATTATAACTTTGGTCCGATGTTTGTAAGTACCACAATTAGAAGAGATAGACCCATTGAAATGTATACTTAAATGATCAGAACGTCGAGCTTCGTCGTTACGTTGTAAGTTTTATNCTCGGAAAATAATCGTTACGTTTTAAGTTTTATTTTTTGCTCGGAAAATAATGATTACGTTTTAAGTTTTATTTTTTGCTCGGAAAATAATCGTTATTTCTTGAGTTTTATTTTTTGCTCAGAAAATAAAACTTAATTTTTGCGTATGCGTATGCGCTTTTTTGCACTTTTTCTTTAGAAATGTGGTTCTCTTTTCTTCTGTCGTGGTATCTGTATTTTCATTACCCACCCCACACTGGCGTTAAAGGTTCAATGCAGCCACCCCCTGTCTATTCACGCATTCGCATACGCATACGCAAAAATTAAGTTTTATTTTCTGAGCAAAAAATAAAACTCAAGAAATAACGATTATTTTCCGAGCAAAAAATAAAACTTAAAACGTAACGATTATTTTCCGAGCAAAAAATAAAACTTAAAACGTAACCATTATTTTCCGAGCAAAAAATAAAACTTAAAACGTAACCATTATTTTCCGAGCAAAAAATAAAACTTAAAACGTAACCATTATTTTCCGAGCAAAAAATAAAACTTAAAACGTAACCATTATTTTCCGAGCAAAAAATAAAACTTAAAACGTAACCATTATTTTCCGAGCAAAAAATAAAACTTAAAACGTAACCATTATTTTCCGAGCAAAAAATAAAACTTAAAACGTAACCATTATTTTCCGAGCAAAAAATAAAACTTAAAACGTAACCATTATTTTCCGAGCAAAAAATAAAACTTAAAACGTAACCATTATTTTCCGAGCAAAAAATAAAACTTAAAACGTAACCATTATTTTCCGAGCAAAAAATAAAACTTAAAACGTAACCATTATTTTCCGAGCAAAAAATAAAACTTAAAACGTAACCATTATTTTCCGAGCAAAAAATAAAACTTAAAACGTAACCATTATTTTCCGAGCAAAAAATAAAACTTAAAACGTAACCATTATTTTCCGAGCAAAAAATAAAACTTAAAACGTAACCATTATTTTCCGAGCAAAAAATAAAACTTAAAACGTAACCATTATTTTCCGAGCAAAAAATAAAACTTAAAACGTAACCATTATTTTCCGAGCAAAAAATAAAACTTAAAACGTAACCATTATTTTCCGAGCAAAAAATAAAACTTAAAACGTAACCATTATTTTCCGAGCAAAAAATAAAACTTAAAACGTAACGATTATTTTCCGAGCAAAAAATAAAAATCAAAACATAACGATTATTTTCTGAGTAAAAAATAAAACTCAAAATATAATGATTAAACTTAATTTTTATAAGTAAAAATTAAAAAATAAAAATCAGTGCCGCTGAAGGTACTCCGAGTAATAAGAAATATATTGGTTTACTCCTTATGCACGTAGCATTTCTCTTTCCGCGTGATTTTTTGTGTTGAAATTTCAAAGGATAATCATTATTTGCGGTGCCTGCTATCAAGTGCGCAGCTCATACC